CCTGCTGAAAAATCCCTTGCTTCATTTCAGTTGAAAGAACAGTCTGGCCTCATTCTCATCATTAGATAGCATTAAAAACCCCTCTCCATAAAGATACTATGAATTTACTGTATGCCATCATCACAATACCCAGGGGGAACAGAGGGGACAAGACAAGGAATTGTAGTTCTATTTATTATCCAACTGTAATTACATATTTAAAAATGCTTCCTTAGACATTAAGCTCCTTTCTGCTCGGTTCAAATCTAGAAAGTAATGAGGTGCTATTGCTCCTTTTCATAGGAGAATTGCTTAATGGTCTGCATAAGCTTTTCACCAAAATCTATATTTATTTTAAATATCTTTACAGTACCTCAAAATGGAGCATAGCCAATGTACTAACATGTAACATTTACCCTATAAACGCATCTTAACAGCTGAGAAGGTAACAGAGACTGGGTGAGAGGAGAGAAATCTTTGATTTTTTTCCTTGTCTCCGGTGGGCTGTAAGTTGAGAATTTTTGGTGGCATGAGGGCTGCTCCCACCTATTGAATATAGCAAAGGAGTTGCCATATGCTATAGTTTAAGTTCACTTTTCTTTATTCCAACAAGCAGAAGGCAGGGGAAAGCAGCTAGTAAAATCAAAACAAAGGGTCGCGAGCAGATGGAGGGGAAAACCTTCCTGTATCAGCAATGCTGCTGCTCCCCTACCTGTAACCACGTTCTTCTGGTCACTGCTCCTTGTTTTGGAACTTCCACAGCTTGAAAGCCTTTGTGATAAGACTAAAAGATTACAGCAAGTATTTGCTATCAGAAAAAACTGTCTTGAACTAAAGTTTTGGGGGTGAGGTAAAGAGTTCCCACACCTTGCCTACCCTTGCTCTGCGATCTTAACCTCTTCCTCACAGGCTCTATTATGCTGCACTAACTTTCAGTGTAAAAAGTTTAATGTGAATAAAAGTCACTGCACTGTACCTGATTTACACTGCTTCTTGTCTGGTTTGTTTAAATTGGCCAGTGCTCCCCAAAATATCCTTCATTTTCTTCAACTCCTAGCACAAGGGAGAGCTTACAGGAGTGCTACCCTGAAGCTATACCGATAGGAAACCCATCAGTAGAGGACAGCTGGAAAAAAAAAGGCTACATTTGAGATAAGCAGGCAGTTTGGGCAATCAAAACAGAGGAGAAAGAGAAGGGTTGCTACTCTTTTAGTGTTCCCCAGGGAGTAGGATAGCACTTTAGTTCCCAGTTAAGTTCTAAAGATGCATTAATGTCATTCTGGATCATAGCAGCTAACCACAAAGCACAAGTGAAGGATATTAATGTATCCAGAGCCTTGGTCGTGCTGCTTTTACCTTATTGCTACAGTGAAGTTGCCATTACTGAGCTTAATTATGAAGTGATACAACGCAACAGCGCGGAACTAAAAGCAGGAAAATTTTTTTTAAAAGCTGGGTAGCTTCACCAGTAAAGACACTGAACCCTGAAGCTTCAGTTTTGTTGGGGAAGCACTACATAGTCTGTTTGGGAAACTCCAATCACGAGTCCCACAGCAACTTTGTGCGCTTCTCAGTACGCAAAGGGGAGGAAGAGAAAAATTATATGTAACCCAGTTACTGGTTCTTCATGTAAAGTATGTCTTTAGTTCCCAAAAGCAGTTCTTTTGAGGACCTGTATCAAGCTCTGGATAAATCCCAGAAGCAACAAACTGACAGCAGCAGAGAAAAGGAAAGCTAAGATTTCACTCCATAAGGACAGAAACGTTTTCAAAGCTTCTCTATTATCACATGGGCATTAAAATTCCTTGTTCTGCTCACCAACAGGCTGCTTTGTTGCCTTGCAGCTAGCAGTAATGATTTATCCTAAGATACACCTGTAAGGAGAGCACAACTAAATTATTCAGAGCACAACTGCTCTCATACTAAATTTAAATTGAGCAGTGAAGCTGACCATATCTTTTCTGAAAAGGCTCGTTCTTTCTTTTCCCTGCAAACCAATCTTCCTCCCTCCTCATGCTGGGCAATGCAAATTCTCAAGGAAGAGCTCCGATCGTGCGAGCACAGTGCTTCACCGAAGCTCCCTGATGCTGTTTCCCAGCAAACAATGAGCAATTTAGCAGATTTTTTTGCTGCTGCAGCTAGCCCACATCCAGAATAGCCAGCCTTTGCGCACTTGCCTTACTGTGTGCCAGCCTGGCAATTTTTCTCAGCTACCATACAGAAACTTGTGCTTAAAAACAAGCTGGATTCAAGAAATATAAAAAGTGATCCTGGGATCAGAAGGAGGACAGTCCTAAAGAGGCTGGCTCAGTTGGCTAGCCAACACACGTGCTGTTAGCCCAGCACAGCGGGTCTGCTTTGACTTCCAAGTTCAGCCACGGGAAGGGTTTGTCCCCCTTTGGGATCCAGGATGCTCAGCCACTCCTGCTGGCTTTTCTGAACATACTGGATGTCTCAGCATCCTCCTGGAGGACTTACACCCAACCACTGAAGACAACCAACCCTGGGGAGAGATAGATCTCCATCCTCCAGCCATATGTATCAATCTGTGAGCACACTAATGATAGCCATGCAGGAGCCTCTCCTGATTGCTACAAGGACTCCTTGGGACAAGGTAGAGATCACGTGCTAAAATCATGACCAGAAAACAGCTGCATTTAGACTAACTAAGAGTGGGGCAAAGCCACCATGGGTCAGGGGAGAGGGCAGGTCTCTCTCTCCACAAGTTGGCAGGCAGCGCTGGAGATTCTCCTGCACCTGCCTGTCCCGACCAAAGTCCATCCTAGTCCGCTGCCTGCCGGCTCTTGCGCTTTTCTTTCCTCTGTTCCTCAGCCCCCGCTGGTGCCGGGGTCTCCTCGGGGCTTGTTTCTGAGCCTGGTTCTGGTTCCAGAGGCAGTGAGGGAGGCTTTGTAAGTGGAGCTGATGCTCCAGCACCTGGGGAGAGAACACAGTTATAGTCACTGTATGACTACATGTCATTTGTCTATTCTTTTTGCCCTTCCAGGCAGCATGGAGATACAGAACAATCACAGCTATTAATCACCCTCAGATTTCTTCTGTCTAGCATTATCTTATTGAAAGCACTCAACTCTTGTGAGTTATCCAGCCAGAGACTTACAATATCCAAAGCTGTGCTGAAGGGAAGCTAAGGGACAAGATTTCACTCGGCTGGCCTGCTGTGAGGAGTCAGGACAAACTTAGGAATTAACTCATGGTTTGGAAGGGAAAATAGTTCCACTGAAACCAGTTTATATTCAAGCTGGAGCCAAAACCACAGTATTGTTTTCAGTTCATAGTTTTAGCAAACTTGGACAGAGTTTCCAGGCAGTTAAAGTAGCTACTTACAGATTAAAATCAAAACAGGGCACTTCCATGCTGAAGTTGTTTCTATACTTAGATTTAAGCTGACAACTGATGTTACGACCCAGCTCCCTTCTCTGATATTCATGATAAAGTCCTTCATGCAAACCCCAAACTCCTGTATGTTTTATTTTTCAGCTTTCTAGACTAAGTCTCCACTGCATGGAGAGTTTATTCCATGTGTGAGAGATGGAACAGGTCCTCAGGGGTGCCAAAGAAAGAGGCCTGGATTACACAACCACAGGAAACAAGACAGAGTGATAGAAAATCACGATGAGCAATATCTCTAGTGCATTCCTCCTCAAAAGCCCAGGGGTGAGAAGAGGTCAGGCTGTGAACAGTGGCTCAGGAAATGCTCCTACCCAGCCCCAGCAAGAAGCAGCATGTACAGATACTGGTCTAAGCCTTCTAAGGCTGACAGTATCTCCTGAGCAACCTTCAGTCCAGTGGCCTGCACTAAAAGGTCATCTGCAAGGGAGGGACCTGGCTGGACACCTTCAGAGCAGTCCACTTGCAGTTATTTTTGTAACAAAATTGATAAAGTGCTTCAGAAAATTGTGTCATTTCCCTTCTCCCCAGCAGCCTGTCTCCCTCTGAATGTGCATGTCAACTCCTGGGCTCTTCCAGAGGTCTGGTTTCTGGCTTTCTCCTTCCCAGACCAAGATCTGAATCCCACGCTAATGGTATTCTTGCCCATCACGGCTCAGATAGGAAAGGAAACTTATAGAATTGTAGAATGTTGTGAGTTGGAAGGGACCCACAAGGATCATCCAGTCCAACTCCTGGCCCTGCACAGGACAATCCCAACATTCAGACCATGTGTCTGAGGGCCTTAGCCAAATGCTTCTGGAATCTTGTCAGGCTTGGTGCCATGACCACCTCCCTGGGGAGCCTGTTCCAGTGCTCCACCACCCTCTGCCTCAAGAGCCTTTTCCTCATGGCCAACCTCAACCTCCCCTGCCACATCTTCCTGCCATTTCCTCTGCTCCTGGCGTTGGTGGCCAGAGAGAAGAGATCAGCACCTGCCCCTCCTCTTCCCCTTGGGAGGAAGTTCTAGACCACAATGAGCTCTCTTCTTGGTCTCCTCTTCTCCAGGCTGAACAAACCAAGCAACTTCAGCCTCTCCTCATATGGCTTCCCCTCTAAACCCTTCACCAATTTGGTGGCACTCAGCCCTGCAAAAGCAGGATAATATAATGCAGCACAGACAGCACCTTCCATCCACACTTCCTTAACCCAGAAATCTTGGAAAGTTATTACCAAATATTGACATCACCACTGTGTAAGCAAGTCAACACCTTCCTAAACGTGCTGTAACTCAGAGAGATTTCTCTTCTCCCCTTTCACAGTTCTATTTTAAAGAGAAGGAAAAGAGAAGTACCTGGGGGAAGCTGCATGTTTTTCCCGTACCCCGCAGCTGAGGACATGGCTTGACCCAGGGCCTGGTTCGAGCCCAGAGGCTGCTGAGTGCTGGAGGATTTCCCTGACGAAGCAGCTCGTTGCTTGGATTTAGACTCTTTAGAAGTTTTAGTCCAGACCAGGCTCTCCCGCACCTGCAGGGCAGCTCCCATCCTCTGGGCAACCTCCACCATCTTCTCAAGAAGCAAAAAGAGAAAACGATTGTAAACAGGAACACATCAGACAACAATAAAATCAACAACAACACCAGAAAAAAAAAGAGAGCTGTGCAGAGCTCCTACTGCCTTGGTGCTCGAGGGAAACATCTCTGCTAATTCATTCCCTTAATTAAGAGGGAATCTTGTCTTGCTGTGTATTGATTGAAGAACTGGGCTTCAAAGAGCAGAAATGAAGCAAGCAGCTCTCAGCAGGCGACTGCTCTACTCAGAAAAATCTCATAAGGAGAATGTCTTCCTAATAATTGGACTCTAAAGTCAAATTTCCTCCTTGTTTGTTGCCAGTCTTAGTGTGGCTACTTAGCTGCCACTGACAGTTGTTAGGCACATACCTCGGGATCAAAGTCAAGCGTACTGCTCTCCTTCACTGCGTTGACCTTCTTCTCCATCTCCTGGTACTGGCAGAGGGCTCCCTTCTTGTCGCCCTGGTTATAAAGCAGGATGGCATAGTTCAGGTTGACGAGGGGGTTGCACCTGCAGCAAACACACAGAATCCCAGAATTGCCTGGATCGGAAAAGCTGTTTAAGATCATTGAGTCCAATCATTAACCCAGCACTGACAAGTCCCCGACTAACCCGTGTCCCTCAGCACTATGTCTACACGACTCTTCAATCCCTCCAGGGATGGGGACTCCACCACTGCCCTGGGCAACCCCTTCCAATGCCTGAGAACCCTTTCAGGAAAGAAATTCTTCCTCAGATCCAATCTTAACTGCCCTTGGTGCAACTTGAGGCCATTTCCTCTTGTCCTGTCACTTGTTCCTTGGCTGAACAGACCCACCCCCACCTCTCTACACCCTCCTTGCAGGGAGCTGGAGAGAGCCAGAAGGTCTCCCCTCAGCCTCCTTTTCTCCAGGCTCAACAACCCCAGTTCCCTCAGCTGTGAACTCATCAAACTTGTCCTCCAGACCCTTCCCCAGCTCCGTTGCCCTTCTCTGGACACGCTCCAGCACCTCCATGTCCTTCTTGGAGTGAGGGGCCCAAAACTGAACCCAGCACTCAAGGTGCAGCCTCATCAGTGCAGAGTAGAAGGGGTACACTGTTACCCTCTGCAGTCCTGCTTCCCGTCCTGATGCAAATATACAGATATTTCAAAAAGGCAGAATTACTCCATATATTTTTATTTTCCACAGTATCCATTTTCTTCACTACGATACATTAACACTGCACAGCAACTTTTCTTCTGACATA